CTTCATTGCAATATGGCCTATAACTTGATTGACTTCATTGTATTTGGTCTATAACTTGATTGCCTTCATTGTATTTGGCCTATAACTTGATTGTCTTCATTGCAATATGGCCTATAACTTGATTGACTTCATTGTATTTGGCCTATAACTTGATTGTCTTCATTGCAATATGGCCTATAACTTGATTGTCTTCATTGCAATTGGCCTATAACTTGATCGTCTTCATTGCAATATGGCCTATAACTTGATCGTCTTCATTGCAATTGGCCTATAACTTGATTACCGTTATTCTATTCTGTATAAATATAACAGGTAAACGCAGGTCCAGCAACGGGGTCACCCCATTGTTGCTCAGTTCTTGTGCCAACAGAGACCTAACAGAATGTCAATCACTGTCCTTTGTGAAAACAGCAACACAGTCTCAAGCCAGTAGCATAAACATACACGCATTAAAGACTTCAGCTGTCATATGTGCCAGCACAAAGAGTCCAACACAAGAAATGCAATTCATCATCAATGAAAGCAGCAGTAATAAACGAAATTTGCATGAACCATTAGACCTTCTTTCTCCGTCTTCCTTTTGCTGAACGACACGGAACATTTGAAATAGCATGATCAATTAATATCGCCAATACAAAACAGCAAACAGAAGTTAAAGAAGCGAATGAAAGTAGATCTCTATGTACAACAATAAGAAAGAGACAAACACTGTACTTTGGCCACATAATGAGAAGAGAAACACTGGAGAACATCGTGACAACTGAAAAGATCAGTGGAAAAAGGGGTACAGGCAGACCAAGAGAGATGATGATGGATGGGCTGAAACGATGGCATGGATGGATATCATCAAGAGAGCTGTTCCATGCAACCAGGGATCGTGATCTGTGGAGACGCATGAGCGCCTACGCCAGTTAGCAGGACAGATGATGATGATGATGAATACAACACAGAAAGTTCTACTCACATATATCAGGAATGTGGCGATTCTTTCTCCAGAATTTGCGATTTCTGGGTTGTCCACAGGGTGCTGGAATAGAAATTTGTGAAGCGTAAAATTTGTTTAGCAATGTCTTTGTATCAGTTGCACGTTTCGCTGTATCTAATTATTTATTTATTTACCAGAAGAAACAGCGGTCCGAAAAGGTATTCACGCGCCTAGTTAAACATTCTAATGCAACAGAACATATAGCTTTCTTGAAGTTAAACATTCTACTACAACGGTTTACATATCGTTTTCTTGTAGTTAACCATTCTTCCCTAACAGTGTACTTATGGTTTTCTTGTAGTTAAACTACCCCAACACTGTACATATGGTTTTCTTGTAGTTAAGCATTCTACCCCAACAGTGTACATATAGTTTACTTGTAGTTGAACATTCTACCCCAACAGTGTACTTATGGTTTTCTTGTAGTTAAACATTCTACCCCAACAGTGTACATATAGTTTTCTCGTAGTTAAACATTCTATCCCAACAGTGTACTTATGGTTTTCTTGTAGTTAAGCATTCTACCCCAACAGTGTACATATAGTTTACTTGTAGTTGAACATTCTACCCCAACAGCGTACTTATGGTTTACTTGTAGTTGAACATTCTACCCCAACAGCGTACATATGGTTTTCTTGTAGTTGAACATTCTACCCCAACAGTATACATATGCTTTTCTTGTAGTTGAACATTCTACCCCAACAGTGTACATATGGTTTTCTTGTAGTTGAACATTCTACCCCAACAGTGTACATATAGTTTACTTGTAGTTGAACATTCTACCCCAACAGTGTACATATAGTTTTCTTGTAGTTGAACATTCTACCCCAACAGTGTACATATAGTTTTCTTGTAGTTGAACATTCTACCCCAACAGTGTACATATGGTTTTCTTGTAGTTGAACATTCTAACCCAACAGTGTACATATGGATTTCTTGTAGTTAAGCATTCTACCCCAACAGTGTACATATTGTTTTCTTGTAGTTAAACATTCTACCCCAAGAGTGTACATATAGTTTTCTTGTAGTTGAACATTCTACCCCAACAGTGTACATATAGTTTACTTGTAGTTGAACATTCTACCCCAACAGTGCACATATGGTTTTCTTGTAGTTGAACATTCTACCCCAACAGTGTACATATAGTTTACTTGTAGTTGAACATTTTACCCCAATGGTGTACATATAGTTTTCTTGTAGTTAAACATTCTACCCCAACAGTGTACATATAGTTTACTTGTAGTTGAACATTCTAACCCAACAGTGTACATATGGTTTTCTTGTAGTTAAGCATTCTACCCCAACAGTGTACATATGGTTTTCTTGTAGTTAAACATTCTACATCAACAGTGCACATATAGTTTTCTTGTAGTTGAACATTCTACCCCAACAGTGTACATATAGTTTTCTTGTAGTTAAACATTCTACCCCAACAGTGTACATATAGTTTACTAGTAGTTGAACATTCTAACCCAACAGTGTACATATGGTTTTCTTGTAGTTAAGCATTCTACCCCAACAGTGTACATATGGTTTTCTTGTAGTTAAACATTCTACTCCAACAGCGTGCATATGTTTTTCTTGTAGTTAAACATTCTACCCCAACAGTGTACTTATGGTTTTCTTGTAGTTAAACATTCTACCCCAACAGTGTACTTATGGTTTTCTTGTAGTTAAACATTCTACCCCAACAGTGTACTTATGGTTTTCTTGTAGTTAAACATTCTACCCCAACAGTGTACATATGGTTTTCTTGTAGTTAAACATTCTACCCCAACAGTGTACTTATGGTTTTCTTGTAGTTGAACATTCTAGTACAGCAGTGTACGAATAGTCCTGTGCTAGCAAAACCGTCTGTCCCAATAGCGTACAGAAAGCAGTATCGTCATCATCATTACCGACTGGTGTTGGCGATCATGCCTGTTAAAAATGTGCTCTTCGCTCATCACCTCTTTTGTTTTATGCCATGTATGGTATAACGTCATAAATCATTCTCTGTATGTGGCTGAACCATTTGATTTGCTGTCTTTGCATGTAATTTAGAGCCGCTTCTGTGCCAAAAATTTCTCTTTTTCTTTTATGACCCTTTTCCAGATTCGATCACATCTGGTCCCTCCAGCAACCCTTTTCTGACATCTTATTTCTGTGGTTGATAAATTTCTTTTATGGTTTGTTGTGAGTGATCAAATCTAGCACTGATAGTATAGAGCGGAAATCCCCGATAAAGCCTGGAATAGTAATTCCCTCTTGTCTCTGGGTAGTGAAATCGGACGCCCGTGTGCATTGCTGCGCACGTAAAAAAATCAATTGTCAGTTGGAAATCGAAAAGAGTAGCCCAACGGTGCTGTCTGTGCAAAAATTTAAAGTAAAACATATACCCAAAGTTTTTCAGGATCTTCGTCGGTGCTACAGAGCCTGTGCACTGTGCTAAGCTTCCTGGGACTCAGACTTGAGTTAGAAGAAAGAACGGAACACTTATGGGTTACCACCCGTGTGCCATTATGTTGATCCGTTGTTGAAACCTCAAACCTCTCTGAGATGTTTCTTTGTTCAGACTGTGATTATCTTGTGTTGTAACAGAGATGCTAGCTGTCCCAGTTCTTGCTTTGCTGCATCTGATAATAATTTCTTCATCCATTTTCTCATCTTCGCTAAATGTTAGTTAATAATTAGTTAGCTTTTCCTCTTGAGCCTAGGGTGACTGTTCGTTGCCATCTGTTATAAGTTGCCACCTGTTGTAAGTTGCCACCTGTTGTAAGTTGCCACCTGTTGTAAGTTGCTACCTGTTATAAGTTGCCACCTGTTGTAAGTTGCCACCTGTTGTAAGTTGCCACCTGTTGTAAGTTGCCACCTGTTGTAAGTTGCTACCTGTTGTAAGGTGCCACCTGTTGTAATTTGCTACCTGTTGTAAGTTGCCATCTGTTGTAAGTTGCCACCTGTTGTAAGTTGCCACCTGTTGTAAATTGCTACCTGTTGTAAGTTGCTACCTGTCTTAAGTTGCCACCTGTTGTAAGTTGCTACCTGTTGTAAGTTGCTACCTGTTGTAAGTTGCTACCTGTTGTAAGTTGACACCTGTTGTAAGTTGCCAGCTGTTGTAAGTTGCTACCTGTTGTAAGTTGCCACCTGTTGTAAGTTGCCAGCTGTTGTAAGTTGCCACCTGTTGTAAGTTGCCACCTGTTGTAAGTTGCTACCTGTTGTAAGTTGCCACCTGTTGTAAGTTGCTACCTTTTGTAAGTTGCCACCTGTTGTAAGTTGCCACCTGTTGTAAGTTGCCACCTGTTGTAAGTTGCCACCTGTTGTAAGTTGCTACCTGTTGTAAGTTGCTACCTGTTGTAAGTTGCCACCTGTTGTAAGTTGCCACCTGTTGTAAGTTGCCACCTGTTGTAAGTTGCCACCTGTTGTAAGTTGCCACCTGTTGTGAGTTGCTACCTGTTGTAAGTTGCCACCTGTTGTAAGTTGCCACCTGTTGTAAGTTGCCAGCTGTTGTAAGTTGCTACCTTTTGTAAATTGCCACCTGTTGGATGTTTGTTAGGCCTCTGCTTGAGCCTTCTCTGGTGATGGTTCTACGCAAGGTCTCTTCCCTTGTTCTTTTCCCTTCCGGTATTAAAATCAGGGCTTGATGGGGGCGTCTTGTTTCAGCGGCGCTTTTTTGTAAATTTGTAACATTGTCTTGCTTGGTATCTTGTCTTATTTGCGTATTGTTTCTGAAATCTGTCCAGTGGAGAATTCGTTTTCTTCTAAGATATTTGTTGTACCCAGATATTCAGAGTCAGAAGCTTGCTTAATAAATGTGCAATGGAAAAAAACGTTAAGGACCTTTTTCCATGCTTTTAGGCGTCTAGGGCACATAGGGCTAGACCTATATTTTTATAGACCAATCGGCACAAGATGGGTGATGTGGTCAGCATTAACCGGCGCCTGTATTTCTGTATTAAGTTAATGCTTCTTTCTTCACACTAATATTTAAAAAGACAAAGAAAAAAAAAAAAAAAAAAAAATCAATAAAATTACTTACACCAAACGGGTCCATATGGACGGAATAATGCCCTCCCAGACCATAATTGACAACCTGAATTTGTGGACATGTATGAGAACACTTTAGATGAAAACTTTAAACGTGTGATAGACATTACAATGGCTATGCGTTGTCTTGTAACCTATTACATTGTTGTTAAGGATGTCAAGAGTGGTAAAGACTAGGGTGACTATAATATCTTCAGCTGAAAACTGGACGTGCTACTAATACTTTAAGGTGAAACGGTATATCGCAAGCAAGTATTTTTTTTTTTCATCTCTCCCCCACGCCCACACCACCTCGATTTTTTTTCAAGGTTACTAAAGTGAACGGGTTTATTAGTGTCGCCCTTTCCCTGTAGGTTCTAGGGCCCTGTAATAGGGAAAACAAGAACAGACCCACTGCCTACCCAGAAGCATGTCGTAAGAGTCGACTAATTGGGAGCTTACTTCGAAGTCAGAGTGCATGTGTCTGAGAGGCAAGGAAACAGCAGTCTGCACACAAATGAGTCAGATATGTAAAACGGAACAGGATCTGGAACAGCACTGCAGTCTATAAAAAGGTGGATGAACAACCTGAACTTTCCGCCAGAGTTTACAGCTGGTGAACGCCAAGAAGAAGAAGAAGCTTAGTCGCCCAACAATGGTTTTGAGGCAGGTTCTATTGTCGTCAAGTTAGGTTAAGCTAAACTGAGTCAAGAATTGACATCACAGCACTCGGGGCATTCCCATGCGTGCGCCGTCCTTATCTTCAGCAGCTAGCGAAGAGTTCCAATACTGATGGTACCAGTCACAATCTGGTTATATATCCGTCTTGCCTTTCCTCTGAGTGTAGTGAGCCGGTCAGACCCTCTGGTTACACCCCTCATTCTCTCTAGGCCATAATAATCTTCTTTCTCTACTGATTCTGTTGTTTGTTCCCCTTGACCACATCTGCCTTGTCATGTATCAGTTCCCCACCCAGTCGTGAAGATCCACCCAATCTGTCTGCCTGTTAATGTCGTCAAGAAATAAATGAAACAACAAACTCTTTATTAGTACTGGAGAAAAATAAATGTAAAATACAATACTGCAAGGAAAAACAACCATCAATACATTTCAGAAATTGAAAGTGTCTCAAGGCAGTAAGGTCTACTGTGTTCGTAAATTGTTGCTGTGATTGTTATTCGACATTTGCTTCGTTAATATAAATTTCTGTAACCTATGGTGCCATTTCAATGGGTTGTAATGAATTCTGTCCGTATTCCAAAGTCGTGGATTTCAAGCTGTACGATAGACATGGCCAATGAGACACCTTTTTTGGGGGTGCCTAGTTGACCATGTATCTTAGTGCACTTGTATTCATGGCGAGGCGCAGACGCCGTCTGGGGGTGACAGGTTCAATTCCCGGCACGGTAACTATAGCTTTCGATTTTTATGTTGTCTAGTCTGTTCTTCTATCTTTCTACTTCTTTCTATGAGTGCCGTTCACAATCCTTTCTGTTACTTGATTAATTCTAGCTCTATAGATAACATTATAAGTGTATCTTCTATTCTTGAGCTTCTTCTTCTTCTCTTCCACCTTGGGGGGGGGGGGGGTGGGAGATGTAACGTTCATTGATGTGCTCTGTCAAGAGCACTATTAAGACTGATGTTCATTTATGTAAGACTGTTCTTAATGCCATCACTCCCTATTTTCCGAGGTCTCCCACGTGCTCTATACCCGTTGTAACGTTTTAGTGTGGCTCGCTGTGGCAGATTGCGTGGATTTTTATCGTGGTATGGGACGTCGCAGGTCGACCCAGCCTCAAATGGGCATCAGGATGGCTGTCCTGGGAAAGTAAAGACGGCCGGCGTAATGCTGACCACATTACCCACCGAGTGCCGATTGGTCTGTAAAAGTATGGGTGGTCTTCCCATAAGCCCTATGCGCCTAAATGAGTGGTAGATAGTACCGAGGCATTCTTGTTCGGTGACCAAACCTCAAGCTAATTCCTATATTTGTTTGAAACGAGATTATGTGCGTTAACGTACGTGAAATCACGGTGCAGACGAACAGGGTGAGGTCAGATTGACAGTTTAAAGATGGCAGCCCACTTTTGATAAGCACTAAAGACGAGTAGTGTTTTGCTAACCCTCGTATATTTTAACTAATTTTCACAAATGACCTTGCCTCCCAGGTCGACCCAATCTTAAAAGGATACCAGGTAAAATCCTGGAAAGTAAACGCGGTCGGCAGGATGTTGACTACATTACCTAGCCAGTGTCAATAGGTCTATAACGTGTAGGTCTAGCCCTATATGCCCAATCCGCTTGAAGAGTAGAAGAGGGTCCTTTACTTAATGTTGTTAACTATATTTTAACTAAAATTACCAGTGGGGTTTTCGGGGACCCATTGTGGGCGAAAGCAAGAATGGACCCACTGCTTCCCCAGCAGGTATGTCGTAGGAGTCGACTGATTTATGGAATCCTTTGAAGTCGGATTACATCTGCCCAAGAGGCAAGGAAGTAACAGTCTGCTT